AGCTGCACACAGAGGGAGGGAGCCGGGATGTCTAGCAGAGAAAATGTACCACTGACTTCTGTACCATGGTGGTAAGAATTTCAGTCATTCAATGAAGCTGATTTGTGGAAGATTCAGGAGAGACAAAATTAAAACACTTCTTCATACAGCACACAGTTGACCACATGACTTTAAATGCTTAAGATGTCTTTTAAAGGGAATTGCATACGTGGGTGAAACACAAAGAGCAAGACTTTTAATTATAATGCCTACATGCTGCCTTCGTGTTCAGAGTATGCTTTTCCACAAAACTACCTGAACCCTGTGTGAGGTTTACTGCCCTCATATCCTGCTTATAGGGTTTCCTACTTGGTGGCATCTTATTTTCTAATTTGGAGGGAAGGATGCTCAACTACAAAGGCCTTTGGTTTAATCAGCATGGGTTATTTTGTTTTATTGGCAACAATGATTTTGTAATGGGTTATATGTAACAAAACACTGAATTATTCTTCCAATCAGGAGGTATGTAAGAGTCAAAGAATGGCAAATGTAAGCCAACGTAGGTCCAATCTACACTGCTATATAATGCAGTTCGAAACAGCATTATATGATTAATGTAGACTCACACAATGCAGTTTAACTGCATTATAAGTGCCTACAATGCAATATGCAAGCCAACAATGCAGTTTAACTGCATTATATGAGCCTACATATAATATGGCTTAGAGGGTTCTCCAAGATATCTTCCTTATGGCTTTCCTTGGGGGGTTTTCCTCTCTCTTATGGTCCCAGGGGAGAGGCTCCCAGGGATGGCCTTCCAGTAATGACTGGCTGGGACAACAAACCATCAGTGTGGACTGCCCCTGGGATCATTCTCCACTTCTTGTGTCTGGTCTCTTTATTTCGCGGTTGGGATTCAATAAACTGCATTATATCATCCTACAATGCATGCCTACAATGCAGTTTGACTGCATTATATGAGCCTACACTGACCATATAATATGGCTTAGGGGGTTCTCCAAAATATCTTCCTGATGGCTTTCCTGGGGGGGGGGGGTTGCCTCTCCCCTATGGGGCTTTATGGTCCTGGTGGGGAGGGTTCCAGAGAAGGCCTTCCATGTAATGACTGGCTGGGACAACAAACCATCACTGTGGAGTGCCCTGGGATCAGGTGTCTCGCCCAGCAGTTGGCTTGGCAGGTGGTCCCTGAAAGATACCTGGCCTCACACCATTACTCATGTTGCAGTGTTCTCCCTAAAACTAATCAATTAGCTGTATTACCAGTTTCTAATTAGGTCAATAAATGGCCCATTTATTTCTCCACATCTTGTGTCTGGTCTCTTTTTTTTTACGGTGGGGATTCAATAAACTGCATTATATCAGCCTACAATGCAATATGCATGCCTACAATGCAGTTTGACTGCATTATATGAGCCTACACTGACCATATAATGCAGTTTCAAACTGAACTATATGGCAGTGTAGATGGGGCCTTAGAAAACAGAAACTAATTCGAAGACAGTGAAGCACCATAACCCTACACATACTTAAAAAATTATATTACAATTCATGCCAAACAACATGTGACTACCAAAAGCAATGCAACTACTTTTTGTCTACCTCTTCTAATAACTATCACTTATATTTAATATCCTTTGAAGTTTATGCTTCCATTTTAAACATATGTTGAAATCAGCATCATTAAAGCATTCCTGATTAAGCTTACTAAATTAAAACATAAAACTTCAAAGAGGCGACAATTGGACAGAACAGATGTTGAAGAACAAAGGTTTTGGCAATAGAACAGAAAAGGGATAAAGGAAGATGCAACACACCGGGGGAAAGTGATATAAAATGTACTTTGGATTTTACTATTAAAAAGGGATAAAAAGGCATGAAAAATGTCTGTACCTAAGCAACCGTTGCTTCGTCTAGAAAATCTGTCACCCAGCTTGTGGATAATAATTCCCAAGCGAACAATGATTTGGGGGCTGGAGAGCTGGAGAAAGCCACTAGAACTACACCTTTTGAAAATATCAAACGCGCAATAGTCTTTGCTGCCATCATAGTTTTAGTAAGCCAGATTTTTCTAACATATCAAAAGACTCTTCCAGACTTGTATAAGGAAACAAAAAGCTCTTACAATAGAACTGCTTATTTGTTATTGGGTATTGATGGCTGTTTGTTGATGGGTAATGCAGGAGAATGTCTCTGTTTCCAGTCACTTCCTTCTAGTAAGATGAGTGCCCTAGAAACCTAGTATGAATTGTGACATATTAGGGAATTTCAAACAAAATGTTGCTCTCAACTACTAGCAATTCCAAGGCAGCAGAAACATCATCTGGTTACTTAAAAGTGAGAATTACGGCCACAAATACCACAACATCCAACAACATTTCATTTGTCTGGAAGATCTCCAATCCATCCAGCAGCTGTGGAATGCACTGAATTGGTTCCAATGTACAAACAATCCAATTCCACAGAATTTGAAGGAAATCTGGAAAATAAACTGACTGGCTGTATCTTATTTTACCCAATGTTTCCATCGTTCTGAATGTGTATTTTAAATCACTGGTGTAAGAAATAAGTAAGGAAGCACTTTTTGGGCAAAATGAGAAGCTCGCCCTATTCATTTCCAGATGTCTGCAGTCACCAACATTGCTTAAATTCTTGCTATCTCCACCTCAATTGCCCAATGTCATAACATTACAGAGGTTCCTTGTATTTAGACAGCATACACTGAAATTGAAATATTCAGGTCCAACATTATAACAGCAAATAAAGAACAACACTCAAACATAGGGGAACTCCAGACAAGAAACAATCAGGGACAGCTAATCACATCTCAATAAAAGATTCCTCCAGGCAGTAACAAGCCAATCCTAAAAACTGTCAGGCCATCAAATGCTAATCAAGGAGGCCAATTGAAATGTTCACACCTACCTCCAACAGACAAGAGTTCTTTCTCCCACCCTGGATATTCCACAGATATATAAACCCAATTTTCCTAGTTTCCACAGACCTCACAACTTCTGAGGATGCCTGCCATAGATGCAGGTGAAATGTCAGGAGAGAATGCTTCTAGAAGAGGGCCATATAGCCTGAAAATCCTACAACAATTCAGGTCCAGTGCAGACACAAGGCCTTAAATTTGTGAATTTCCCCCTTGCTCTTTTACTGCTTTACTACTGTGCTTTAAGTTGATTCTGACCTATGGTGACCCTAAAATGAATCTATCACAGGATTATTTTGGCAAAATTTGTTCAGAAGAGGTTTGCCATATATATAACTTGGTCCTCTGGTGGCACAGTGGGTTAAACCACTGAGCTGCTGAACTTGCTGACCGAAAGGCTGATGGTTCAAATCCAGGGAGTGGGGTGAGCTCCAGTGGTTAGCCCCAGCTTCTGCCAACCTAGCAGTTCAAAAATATGCAAACATGAGTAGATCAATAGGTTGGGTAAGTTTTTTTGATTTAAGGGTTGTTTTGGGCTTGAGTTTGGGCAGCTTGTGTGGACAAAAATCCACACCAAAGCATTTTTTTAAAACGTGCTTTGGCACGGGTTTTACCCCTGTCTGGAAGTGCTCTGAGACTTTACATTGCAGGATACATCAGCAGCCAGTCCTTTGCTTCTGTTTTCCATCAACAAGTAAAGAAACAAACAAAAAAGACATACTGCTGGATACATAGCCCTCATGACTTGTTCACAACTGAAAACCATTTTAAAAAAAAAAATAGGTACCGCTTCTTTGGGAAGGTAATGGCACTCCATGCAGTCATGCTGGCCATATGACCTTAGAAGTGTCTATGGACAACACTGGATGTTCAGCTTAGAAATGGAGATGAGCACCACTCCCCAGAGTTGGACACAACTAGACTTAATGTCAGTGGAAACCTTTGCCTTTACTCTCTCTCTCTCTCTCTATATATATGGAGTTATACTAAAAATACCTATTCTGACTTACATAAAAATTCAACTTAAAAATAAATCTACAGAACCTATTTTGTTCATGTAATTAACTTTTACGCAAGTGATTTGTAGATCCTTTTTCTGAAAATTATCTACATCCTTAATTAACCAATTAAGGAATGCTAATTGCATAAATGTATAATTGTATGTGTTTGTGGTGTCAAATTCATGAATACAAACAACCAAGCAACTATGTCTTGCATTGTGCTAATGACTTGTCAGATTTTACAAAAATAAAAGCAGAATCATGATGAATAATTAAATATTTGGCTGTCCTTAAATGTGAATTTATAAAGCAGATTGAAGACACCATATGGTGTTCATTGTTAAAAGATCTTGCTAATTCACACACTATAATACACAACAAAGATAAAAACTTAGAAAGATCTACAAGATCTATTCTAAGGTACTAATTGAACATCCTTCCCAAAGTGGTTGAACTTCAAGTCGCATGAAATCCATCCGGCAATGCTGAGTAATGCTGGGAGATGCAATATGAAAGGCAATGATTCATATTCGGATCCAGTCCAAAGTATCTAACATACTGCATTTTGAGATCCAGCATTTTATAAAAGGCACACTTCACCCAGCTTTTTAAAATGGCATTTCCTGAGCTAGAGCTATTTTTGAGCCAAAATTATTTATTTCTCAGACTCAAATTTTACTCTGGTAGTAGACCTCTTTACCAGAGAATAAATTCAAAGGGACATCTCCCTTTATGCAGAGTTTTCTCTTATCTTTGATATCTATTACAGTATGCCTTACTACACATTCCTCTAATTACAGGTAGCCTGGAATGCAAATGTGCAAACTCCCATGACTTTCACAAAATGGCAAAATATTTAACAAATGATACGAGATATTCATTACATGCAGCAAACTATTAAAAAAAATTTGAATCAAATATTAGACAAGCTTTGTATACCGATCCCTGGCTACATCTGGAATACAAGGGCCTGGGAGAGTTCCTTTTTCAGATGCAAGTCTGAATTTTATTACACAGCCCAACAAAAAAGAGCCTTGGTTTTTTGATTCCTGGGGTTATTTGGGATACTGTTTCAAAATATTGCATTTGATAGACCACAGCAAATCTTGTTTCTTGGATATGGTTATCAGTATTTTATATGGTGAACAATGAAGACTTGTAGATGGCATATGTTCTGTATCTCAAAAACTAGAGCTGATAGGGGAAAACTGCTGCCATTTTTGGAATCAGAATTTCAAATATATCCAAACACAGGACTAACATGTGAGGCAACAAAATGTGTGTTGGCCAATCTTTTTTGTCCACCCTACCATAGACCCACCGAAACAATGCTATTTTCTCACTATCTGTTGAATTATCATTTAAAAACTGATGTTATATTCTTACTTTGCTGCAACTAACCAATATTCAGACCACTAACTACCAGAATCCCTTAGCCACAACAGAAAGTCTCCATGGTAGCTGGGAGATTTTGGAAACTGAGATCTGAAAAGATAATGTAATTGGAGAAATGGGAATAGTGGCTTGTGAAAAACAGCACAATACTCTGATGAAAATGTAAATGGTATTTAAATGAAGTTCTTAGGACTCTATAAAACATGGGTATTTGCAGATTAAGCGGTCTCTGTGGTGAGAGTAGTCCAGAAATATTTACATGGAGGAAAGCATTGGCCTGAAATGTTTTAGTGTTCAGCATTAATGTTAACAAAACAGAACAAAACAAGAGGGATTCCTATGAAACGAGCCTACTTACTGTTGCAGCCAACCACATGATTTCTACATTCTTTCTCTTTTTAGCATGAATATTTTGATGGAGATTTTCTAGTAATCGCTTTAAGTCATTCTGTTCTTGAAAATGCGGTAGGCCTGAAAAGGAGAAGGAAGCCGTTAGTGACAAACTGTATGCTGAGTTGAGGGTTTTCTTACTAAAGAAAAGCTGCAGCAGCTAATAGCATCATTTCAAATGCATGAGAATTTTCATCAAACATAGCAATATCCCGCTATTACTTAATGATTGACCAAATGGTTTTGGATTTAATAATACAGGCACTGCTATCTATGGATGTCTTCTGAAGTGCATAGCATCCCCCATATGTACTTAGTTTAAATTGAAACAGGAAGTATTCAATGGCCTCTTCCATTTATCTAGGACTTCATCCTCTTGCTGTGCTTTGCATAACTGCACAAAAACGAAAGCACTAATAAAACGAAAGACTGTGTGTGTGTGTGAGAGAGAGAGAGGAACTGCAGAAAATAATAACAGCATTCTTTCTTTGAACATGAGTAATAATAACAATAATAATAATAATACTTTGTTTATATCTCCCATGGGGACTCAGGGTGTTTTCCAATGAGTAACAAAAATAGCAAACATTCAATTGATTAAATTGATTAAATTATTCATATCTATTTATTTTTCTATCTAAACAATTTCTTAGCTGGTCTACCTGAAACTTCTAAGACAAATTTAAAGAAAAATCGAATTAAAAAATCAAAATGGAATTAACCTCAAATACCAGCTTTTGCAAAACAAAGAAAACCCTCAGCAATGAAAATAATAGATAGAAATAGCAAGAGTACTGATAAACCAGCAACACAGAATGAATCAACAGAAATAAAATATGTGCTTCTATCTGAAAATAGTATCATTGTGCCCAAAACTGCACTAAAGATCTACAAAACAAAACAAAACAAAACAAAAACAAAAAAACCCAAAAGGCGATATTGTTTCAAGCTATATTTCTGCAGAACTAAATGAAGTCAACATGTATATTGCTAACCTAACATGATTTAAAATTGTGTGGATATACTTATGTTGCTGAAAAATCCAACATACCTGATGTATGTTAGCTTAACAGTCTGTTAGTAAGCATTAAAGACCCACTGAAAATGAATACTTTTGTGGTTCTTGAATAACTGATTTTTATGAAACTAGCTTGAAAATATTACTGATGAATTAGTCTATATATTTTGAGTTATTTCCGGATCTAATACAATTTTATGCATGACAAGAGAGGAAATATTTTTATTTTGTAAAGGTAGTGTCAGTGTACTGACGTTATAATACAGTATCACTAACCTTCCTCTCAAAGCAAGAACATACTTCACACAAAAAAGGTCCTGAAAAGAAAATCAATCGTATAGAAGAACCAAAGTCAACAGCAGAATGAATGCTCTAAACCTTTGTGACAGTCAGTTAATGGCACCATTAAGACTATTAAAGATTGTGCTGTGTGAGGTCCAAAGTACAGGAGAGTTATATGGATTAACAGATGACCTCAAGCTCAGCCTGACCCTCCAATAGCACCAACTCTCAGGCTCAATCTCACTTCATGTTTGAAGAATTTTAAAAAGAAGAAATAGAGCATGGAAAAGCCATTATTTGGACTACAACTCCAATAATTCCTTAGGGAACAGGACCACTATTTCCAAGATCTGATAAGAAACTAAAAGATCTCAACATGCAATGAAGGTAGACGCAAGGCATGTCATGTAAAAGGACACTGTGTACTTTCTCTTACAAAATATCTCTAACTAAAGAATGAGCAACTTTGAAGATCAAGAATCCTTTGGGTAACGTCTACATTAGAAATGCAATACTAGGACTTTGAAGCAGAACCCAAATTGCCCAGGCCACTAATACGGCTCACCAGGACAAGTCTGATAAAACAGCGACATTCAGTACTATAATCATATTAATTAGTATAATCACTACACTTGAGGACAAACTGTAGGAGATAATTCCATAATTAGACTAACCGCACATCTATGAAAACATCATTTCAATATTATTCCATCTAAGCCTCCAGCCAATTCCCACTGAATTACCAGCGGAAAATTTTAGGTCAAGTGAAAAGGATTTGGGAGAATGGCTGGGGCAAGTATTTGCAATTTGCTAAAAAACCAAAAACAAATAGACCAATGATTAGGTTTGTGATGAGAAGCTTTTACTCACTAATGAAGGGAAATGTCTTTATAGACAATATGTATGAAATTATTTTTAAATACTTACAATCAGGAGGCATTTTTTCTGTGAACAATCTGTAATACTCTTTAAGTAATTCCAAATTGTCCTGATTAACATTTTCTTGCAAGGAAGTATCCCCAAATCTAAAGAATAGCAAAACACGGATAGTTATATGTGTATTTCTCTACAGATGTAGACAGACCATAGTTAAACAAATGGAATGGAACTTAACTCCGATTTCATTTTTAAATGCAGATCATTGCTTTAATTGTTGTTGTTGTTGTTAACATCATCTGAGCTATCCCATACAGGTTTAATCAGAAGTAAATCCCAAAACACACTATGAGGCTTTCTCTCTGTTTGTTTAAGACTGTAATTCTACTTTATTTGCTTTACTACATTTCCAGGTTGCTCATTAATGTATATTTCTATGACCACAATAGCAATATGAAATCCTGAAAAGTACAATAAAAATTGAACAGAAAGAAATGATGCCAGCATTATAATAACAAATAATATTAATGAAAAAGTCATGCACAAGGTCTAAATATGCATAAAAAGTGTTAGGATTACAAATTAAAATAATTGAAAAAAAATGTAAAAGTCCTTCAACCTGGTGCTGTAAATATCCCAGCATAGGGATATTTTCTGCACCATACGGCTGCTGGCTTTTATGTCAGTTGTAGAGATGGATCTCCCCTCAAGATCTCAAGACACAGAACTGGGAGAACAAAGTCCTTCAAATAAATGGGATCTAATCCATATATGTTCAGTACTCTGAACTGTGACTGGAAATATCTTCGAGCTGCTAAAACAAGCATCCAAGCCTTGACTTCTGGTGTGATATCATAGGTAATCCAATGACTCCTGAGTTCCTTAGGCAGCATATCCAAACAGGGAATGAAACAGAATCCTGATATAACATACCTTTCTGCAAGCGTTTGCTGTTCATTGATTCCAACATTAAAGAGGATTGGATATACATTGAGCAGTTTGCCCTCTTTAATCTCTTGTGGTAGCAACTCAAACATCTTTTCTGGAAGCTTGATATCTATTACATAATGTCCCCTGGGAAAACAAAAGCATGACTAATTTGTGCTGTGTAAAAATTAAGTTCTTTTACATGTGTATGTATTTGTAAAATTACATTTGTGACCTGTGCTTCTGATGAGTAATAGAAAGTTTTCACATCAAACAGCTGCCTCTGGAAGCAGATTTTATGTGCAAATAATGAAGTGGTTTAATCTGTTATCATTCAATCACAGTTGTAAGAGACAAGAAGGGCTATCCGGTCCCAACTCTTGTCGTGCAGGAACACACAATCAATGCTGACAGGAACAGGGACTCATGGTATTTTCTGCCTCATGTAGGAAAATAACTTGGCTGGCTTTGGTTACTATGCAACTTGACTTGAATGGGGAGGAACACATTTTGTTGCTTTGCCTCTCAATATCTTGGGCTGACCACTTGAAGATACATCATACCTGTCAATGTCCTTGAGGAAGAAAGGTCAGAGGAGCTACGCATTGTCCTGTAGTTATTGTGACATTTGTCATCAGCTCAGCAACAAGGATGGATCACACTCAAACTGTTCATGATGCATTGAAGGGGAAGAGTTGAGGGGTCATTTGGCATTCTACTCATAGCTCAGTTATGGGTCTCCAAATTATAAGAGAGTTTCAGCATGCAGACATCAAATCCTATGTTTCCCTTTCAAAGTTTAGAAGTTTGTGTATTTAAGTCACTAAGCTCCAAGATGTAAATGAAAGAAACAGTAATGCCAAATCTAGAAATCAATATTTCCTTAGTGATACATAGAAGTTCTTTAATTCCAAGATATTAAAATTTGATTTTTATCTCAAGAATACAAAGCTATAAAAACAGGATCAGTTATTTAATTACAGACTGTCTATTCAATAATTACTTCTTCACTGAATTAAAAAAAATCAGAAACAAAAAGCAGCATAATAAACTTTTTGCCTCTTTGAGTCTTCTATAGCCTAAGAGAGGATTCTGTACACCAGGTTTTAAAGGACATCTACAGAAACCTGGTTTGGTTATCACAGTAATTAACTGATTGTTTTGTGTACTCCCTTTCTTTCACTGGTTATAAATCTGTTTTGTGAGGGAAATACTGTTTGATGAAAACTCTGTTTGCTGCAGCAGAAACTGCTTTTTGAAAAACTAGAAGTCAATCACAAAACTGCTGCAGGTGACCTGAAGAGGAACATGATCTTAAATTCTGTCGCTTTGGCTGGATCTACAGTGTCCTACATCCCAGTATCTGATCCCAGCAGATAATCTGGGATTAGATCCTGAGATATAGGGCAATGTAGATCCAGCCTTAGTGGTCATTTATGTATTGCTAAACCATAATTTGGTATTAATAAGAGAGTGCAGCCCCCATCTTCTATGGACCCATTATAAGTCGTCTGATTTTATGCAAAATTTATCAAACCATAGTGCAGTACACTGATGTTCTACTGATACAAATAAAGGAAAAAAATTGTTTTTGTTTATAGTTTTATGCACATCATAAGAAATTATTTTTTCTGTTGTCGCAGAAGAGATTTCTAAAAAGTAACAGTATTTTCTTTATAAAATTAAAAAATCAATTTTAATTTGCCATCAAAGTGAGATATTACCAGAAACAGATGCAGCGTTTTCAGACTAGAAACAAGAGGCACAAAATATGGAATTCCATTTCTCTGGTGCAACATCTTCATTGTCATGTAAGCATCAACTCCAGTACTTTGATTGCAGCTTCATTACCATAGATCAATGGAGAGTGAAGAGCTGTGGCTCTTCAAATGCTTTTGGATCATGTAATCCCTCATAATTGCCTAGTCTGGCTAGGGCTGATGGGAGATGTGGACCAAACACATCTGGAAGGTCACAGCTGTCCAAGTATGGTCTTAGTCTTGTTTGTACTAACTCCGCTTAGACTAAGTGCTTTGTTAGTGTTTTCAGAATGGCATACATCTGCACTTTTGTATACATCTATAGGACTTAAGGTTGTGCAAATGGGATGGCTGAAATGGACTCAGGTCGAAGAGCTAGAAAGACATCTTCTATGAGACAACTTTACTTTCAGAAGGTATCTATGTCTGACTATGTGGCATTTAGGAGAGCACTGGGGATGCCATAGGGACAGTAATAGAAACATATCTTCTGTTGGTCAGCTGAACATATCTAAATATGGAACCAGTAGCATGACTATGATACTCTATGTCTTACACTATTTTTAAATTATTTTATTACTATCCTATTTTGAGTAACATGGAACCTAGGCCCTCTTTTTTGTCACAGGTCTACAATGGCTAATATTTAAGATATTTATTTCCAGGGTCCATTCATATTGATTAACATTTTAGACATGAAGCTGATTTTTTTGCCAAATTCTAACTAGTCAAGTGCTAAGGAGACGCTGCTGATATTTTTATTGGTTCTGTATGGTTTTTATATTGTACGGTAAATGCTTTTAATTGTATTTTATAGTATTGGGGCATCGAATTGTTGCCGACTGTAAACCGCCTTGAGTCACCTTCAGGCTGGGAAATGCGGTATACAAATATGGTAAATAAATAAATAAATAAATAACCCCATAGTATATTTTGAAAGACATTTCCCGTATAGTCTCAGAATGTGTTCCTAAACCTGGAATTTTAAAAATTAAGTATTCTCCAGTCATGTCTTTTGGCACTGTTATCTTATAAAAAGAAAAGTTCATTTTGTAGGTTTATATATAAAATATGGACTGAGAAACCACTGTATATTTTGGGCTTATAAAGGAAGTAATGGCATGTAAACCATGATTTAAAAGATTTGCTCATCTCTTATGGAAATTGATTTTTAACAGGCCCGTCCTTGAAATCACTTTATTATGAATTACTTTTGTTATTGTTTGGATATGGGTCCATAGATCAACATTTTATGCTTCCTTGAAATCACTTCATTATGAATTACTTTTGCTATTGTTTGAATATGGGTTCATAGATCAACATTTTATGCTTCCTTAGGGAAAGCATAAGCAAGCCAGCCCCTGGGGGTGTGAAGAAGTTCGTTGCCTGATAGTTCACACTGCTATAACTGTCCTAAGAAATAGTATTTTAAAATTGACACCATCAGGTTAATGGTATGTTCCTCTAGTGTGCACTGTCTGAAGAAATTATATTTTAACTAAAGATCGCTTGCATTTCTGTGTGAAGGGTTTTTTTTGTAGACACAAGCAGAAAAGTTGGTTACAACAGACTAGTATTGAATAGATATGTGACAAAGTCAGTATCAGAAGAACATGATTGCATTGCAGAGTAAACTGTGCCTCTCAAATGTGCTGGTAAATTTTGAAAGGTCTATTATCTTTACAAGTCTCTCCAGGGTATTTATTTTGTCTTTTATTTGTTGCAATTTTTAGTTACATGCATAAGTTAGCTTAGCATACAGAAAAACTTCAGATGAGCTTCTCGTTGATTTTTCTGGAACAGCATCAAGTTATGTTGTTGTTTCAAAAAACAGATAATACTTACCGTCTTCCAGTTATAACAGGCAAAAGGTCATCTGATTTGGCTTCTGTTATTTTAAACATAACTTTTTGCAAATCCGATATTCCCACAGCCATGTCTTCTAGCATTCCAATTTCCTCACCTACACAGAAGAGAAAATGCATTTCAAACTAAAACAAGAAAACAACATGACTAACAAGGGCATTTAAATTAAAATGATCTAAATTTGGGTGTCAGCATTTAATGTTGAGCAATCATATCCACTTTCATCATGTGATTGCACAAGAAAGTCCAGAACACTGAAGGACAGAGCAACATTCTCCATAATGAGTTTAACCATTTATTATCATTTCACTCTTAAACAACAGACATGTCTCTAACTATTTTAATGCACAAGCGATAATATTTTGTCTATGAAAAGCTTTTACTATATAACTTCTAATGCATTTATATTCATTTCATTTTTGTTGTTGTTTGTTTTAAAGAACCAGTGCGAGTATTTTCTGTTCTGTTGCCTGTTTGGGTTACTTATCCATGATAGCAAACATATTATATGCACTGGTGCATCCCCAATACTGCAATATCTGTTTATTTCCATTGTGAAGCAAAAGTGGTGAGAAATGATTAACATTTTCAGTCAAGTAAATCTGCTTTACTCAATGAACTGTGTGATAGACCTGTGCCTAAGAAATTGGACAACTTGTTATGTGAATTTTGTTAACTTCAATGTGTGCCCATGTGTAATGTTCATGGCAAAAATCACAAATATGTTCCCAACCTGCCTTCTGCAAAAAGTATACATTGGTGCTTATTGTTGGTTTGCATCATAACATTGAGTGTATAGGGTCTTCCAGAATCAAACTTCATATGCAGCGAGATAAGTGTCTCCTCCCTTCTTCTCTCCGCTGTTGGAATGCCATCCCCCAGAACTACTTCTGCTGAAACTATGTTGTGGCATGGGGGCCCAAAGGAGTCAGGTGTACACCCAATTCCTTATAGAACAAAGCAAGAGGAGCTGAAGAGGAAGTGGGGACAGACTGGAAAACATTGAGAGAAGGGAGACTATAGACCCTGAAGGTAGGGAACACTTCAATAGTTAACTCCGCTGCCCCACGATTCCCCCGCTCTCCCCCACTCTCCCCCTGGATGTCTGATTAGGTCCTAAATGTTGTCATGAATACACTGCATGCAGCTATGTCTGTCCTTTTTCAGAAGTCATCAAAAACACAATACAAGGTGTGTGGATGAGGCTATAATTCTTTGCTCCTTGTACACTTTTTAAAAAAGGCTCCATATGCTTCAATCTTGTCTTTCCCTGTGTAAATTGCAAAACTTGTGCCCTCTTCCCTTCTAATCTATGTTTTAGAGCACCTGTGGGTCCCCAAGTGTTTTGTCTTACAACTTCCAGAAATCCCAACCAGTTTACTAGCTGTTAGGATTTTTGAGAGTTGAAGACCAAAACATCTCGGGACCCACAGATTGAGAACCATTATTTTATAGTGACCTGCCCTGCATGGTCTGTTTTAGGTTTCTTGTACTCACTTGTACTCTCTCAAGAGCAGGATAAAAGAGCAGATTATGTAGATAGTAAATGTAACTTTTCTGACATTTTGGGGAACAAGCAACAGAAAAGTGACAAGATTTTGCATATCAATGATCAGATATTTATTTAGGTTTACAGATTGCAAAGGAGCTAACGTAGTGTAGTGGTTAAAGCATTAACTTATGACTCTGGAGAACGGGGTCCGAATACCTGCTCACCAATGAAACTCACTGGGTGACTTTGGGTAGGTCACATTCTCTGAGACTCAAAGAAAAGCAATGGAAAACCTTTTCTGAACTAATTTTGTCAAGAAAACTTTGTGATAGTATCTCCATAGGTCAGAAATTACTTGAAGGCCAATAACAACAACATAATCAGAAAGGGTTACCAGTGAAGCTTATAGATAATAAAATTACCTATAATGTTACTAACAAAAATATAGTTTGTATTAAAAAACATTTACTAATTCAGTACAAACAAAAACTGAAGTCAGCTTGCATACTGGCTTCTGTAAATGACTGTACAAAACACTATTTCTGAGAGACGGAAAACTTTTTGAGAAGATATAAATTATACTGAGAAGGGCTCATACTGTAAGGATGAATAGCTAGAAACCAATGAGTCAACATCTATTCACACAACAAGCTATTTGTATCTCAGCCATTATAAAGTCAAGGTACAGGCTATAAAACACAGCAAGGGAAACAACAATAATAACAAACAACTTGACATTCCAAAGGCCTTCTGAAAATAACATAATACTAAACATGTTTACTCAGCCCAAGTTGAACTAAGATCTTACCATTTCACATAACTGGAATTGCAAAGCAGCACAAAAGCGATACATAAATATTCAGGAAACGTCAAATAATAAAATAGGCATACAGCTCTAGAATTCTTTAAAATGATTATTGTTGACTCATGATGCTGAAATAAGAACATATTTAATAAAACTCATGATTTCAGATTTTCACAATGTTTGAATGCAGCTGTATGAACTCAATACTTACTATATGTGCTGAGGAGTCCTTCATATTGAACAATTAACCCCACTGTATGAAGCTGCTGCAGGAAGCCTGGGTCATGTAAACTAGAGTGCAATTTGATTATAAATCCACAGACCAATCCAGCAAGCTAGAATAATGACCAAAGCCATACAGAGATATTAGTTGCATTAGCAAGACTTATGGAGAGAAAAACATCAGTTCACAAGATGACACAAATGAATCTTCAATAAATCCTGTTTCTAAATAAATATTGGAAAGTACTATCCATCAACACAGGGGTGACCAGACCAAGACCCAGATTCCTGTGAACACCAGCCTCCACAATATTTCCTCACAGGACCATGCAAAATGGTGACATTTTGAAAGTGTCTGCAAAAAATTAAGGATATTTGGGGTAGATGAGGTTCTGTGATTTTAGGGCAAAAACTGTCTGTAAATCATGTCATTTTAAAAATTGGAGTGGTTGGGGCTTTGGGAGATTGGTAGACGTCTTCAAGAGGTCTACAAAAAGGGGCTGTATGGCACAGGCCACAGACTTTTCTCATCCCTCATATAAAACCTTCCTTTCTAAATAATAATATAGAAGGAGAATAAACATTACAGATTAAAACAGTGTTTCTCAACTTGGGGGGTCGGGACCCCTGGGGAGTCATGAGGGGTTGTCAGAGGGGTCACCAAAGACCATCAGAAAACACTGTATTTTCTGTTGATCATATAATCTCTGCCCCAGGGGAAGGCAAAGGCAACCCCTCTTTCAATGAATCTTCCCAAGATTCCCAAGAATTTTCAAATCATTTATGTCTTAACAGATACACAGTTAAATACACTTTTTAATAAGAAAGCACTCATTGTAATATGTGACCTGGACATACCGATTTCTAGATCAACATTTTCATAACTATGTTACATTGAGTCTCTGTTGTGATTATTCATAGCAAAAGATGTAGGCTGGCATTCACTATTGCAGTTATGAACATGTAAACTAAAGCTATTAATCAACAACTAATCTATAATTCATGATCCCTATGTAGTCACAATCCTGGGATTTGGAGTTTGGTGAGATATCGGATCACTACAAATCTCAGGATTTCATAGCATAAAACCAGTGGAAAAAAGTACCATCTTTCTGTATTTTGACTGGTCATGATTGTGCCACTAAGTTGATGTCTTCAGAAAACAGTTATTTTCTGCTTTGCTATTTGGAATGCACACTATGCTTTTATATGGCTATGGAAACTAACATGGGCTTGCTCGGTGAAATCTCAAAACATTTCAAATTTATGAAATGAAAGAAGCACCTACAGCTTGACTGAAGACAATATCTCTTCTTAGGGTCAGCATTAAACATTGTGGCAAACTACACGCAAGTTCCTGAAGCAGAACAAAAGACATTGATTGCTTTGCTCTTGTCACCACCTCTCCAATACAGTCTTTCAATGTAACAGTGAGTGGATACAGCTGTTCATACCAGTCACCTGGAACAAAATACGAAAATTAAAAATAGTGATCAAAGTACAGAAAGTGTCCATCTTAGACCTAAGTTAGAAACTGAAGGAAGAAAGCCTCACTGTCATACACATATATCTAATGGGCACATGCCTATTTGTAAGGACTTAAACGTAATTTTCTCCCACTTTGCTCTTCTTGTCTCATCACAAAGGAAAAATCCTTTCTGCCTCCTGCACAATTCTGGGGTTTGTAGTTTACGGAGGAGCCTTTAATAGCCTCCCAAAACTACAACCTCCAGAATTCTCCAGGCTCAGCCAGGCCTTCAAATGCTAATTTTATTTATTTATTTTTTTGTCGTGTCAGGAGCAACCGCTCCTGTTGTGAGAGAATTGGCCGTCTGCAAGGACGTTGCCCAGGGGACGCCTGGATGATTTTTGATGTTTTATCATCCTTGTGGGAGGCTTCTCTCACGTCCCCGCATGAGGAGCTGGAGCTAATAGAGGGAGCTCATCCACCTCTCCCAGGATTTGAACCTGCGACCTGTCGGTCTTCAGTCCTGTCGGCACAGTGCTTTAAACCACTGCGCCACTGGGGGCTCTCTAGTGTGATGAAGTACAGCAGCTCATTTAAGGATGCTCTAATTCTAATTACATATTGTAGCTGCACTCGCTAGAGGAGTTGGGAGCAACAGCCCCCAACAATAACTTTTTCAAGCCTTTGGGAAAAATATCCAAATTTGAATGGTAGAGCAGACTAGAAGGAAGTAAAAGCAACCTCCATCCCACATGACTGAAGTGTTTTCTCAAATGATTGAAATACTGTGCACAACATTTCTAGTCAAGGTTTTTAAAAATAATACAGGCGAATCTCTTTAATATGAAGTCAAATGCTAACTTTTAAAAAGAAAGCTCCAGTATATTCGGGACTACAATATGTCTACTGGCAACAAAAGGGCACAATGAAGCAGAAGTTGTCACAGATAGTCTTGAGAAATAGCTGAGCCAAAACAGTAACATATTTGGTTCTGACACTGATTAGGAAACATGCCAGTTTTTAACATATTGTTGTTTTGGTACCAACGTCAATATATTTTTTAAATGCCAATTTCTCCACTCTACTATGCCTTAATAGAGTTCAACAAGAAGTACAGTGCTAATGTTACTTAACAAACATTTAGTTCTTATCAAATTTATCTCTTCCACTATTTTGTTTCTATAGAAAAACAATTGAGTATGATAGGGGCAGGATGAAGGGGAAAGGACCTATAACCAGTGTTGTCGTTTAGCTATGAAGTTTCTTGTCTATGCTATCACCGTGAACTTCTTCAACTAGTCTTTTTTGCTCTGTTGCTTTCCATCTGCTGTCTCCTGAAAGCACCATTTCATGGAGGAGGAGAAAAGTACCAAAGTGAAGAAAAATCGTTAAAGGAAGTGGTGACCACAGCAGAGAAAACATACTCAGAGTCCTCCTCAATCAAGCCAAGTAGATTATCTCTTGAATGAACTATGTGTACTGACAGTAGGTGGAGGACCTTTCTGACATTAAGTCATTATGAATTCACAAGCACAATAAGGAAAAGTGGGGGGGGGAGAGAGAGAAAAAGCAATTATATTTTTGATGATACCACTGGTTACATTACTTTTTCTGAACTCGCTGTCATTGATGCAACCATCACTATTTCATTATATCACTGGTTTCACAGATGTAACCATATGAAGTTTTGGACCATTAGTGATTTGTATTCAAACCAACAATTAAGAATCAGTGAGTACTGTTGAATAAAGTGATATGTTCCAAGCACTTTTGCTCTTGTAAATGATGCTATTGTATCCTATTGATGGCAATTTATTTCAGTCAGTTTATTTGGAATTGCTCCCAGATCATTTATCACTACAGCTTGACTGTAAGAACAGCAATCAGCTACTAAACTGCTATTTTATTTCTATTATTGTTATGAGTATTATTATCAATCCCACAAATGTTATGGGTTGGTAAGTGACAGCATCTAATTAAGATTTCAAAACAGGAAGTATGATACCATCTACTTTTATAAGAAACCCTGTACAGCAGCATTTTTCAACATCAGGGTCGGGACCTCTGGGGGAGGCTCACGAGGGGGTGTCAGAGGGGTTAGGAAAGACTATCAGAAAACACAGTATTTTCTGTTGGTCATGGAGGATCTGGCCCAACTCTATTGTTGGCGGGGTTCAGAATGCTCTTTGATTGTAGGTGAACTATACATCCCAGTATCTACAACTCCCAAATGTCAAGGTCTATTTTTCCCAAACTTCACCAGTATTCACATTCAGACATATTGAGTATTTGTGCCAAGTTTGGTCCAGATCTATCATTGTTTGGATGTAGGTGAACAACAACTCAAGGCTGATCCTACCAAACCCTCCCAGTATTTTCTGTTGGTCATGGGAGTTCTGTATGCCAACTTTAGTTGAATTCTATCGTTCAGAACGGTCTTTGATTGTAGGTGAACTATAAATCCCAGCAACTACAACTCCCAAATGACAAAATCAATCCCCCTCCAACCAGTATTCAAATTTGGGCATATCGGATATTTGTGCCAAATTTGGCCCAATGAATGAAAATACATCCTACATATCAGATATTTACATTACCATTCATAACAATAGCAAAATTACAGTTATGAAGTAGCAATGAAAACAATTTTATGGTTGGGGGTCACCACAACATGAGGGACTGTATTAAGGGGTCACGACATTAGGAAGGTTGAGAACCGCTGCTGTGAAGTGTTTTCCCCCCAAATGATAATATTGATGTGCTAATAAATACAGCTGAACAAAAAAGGAATATTCAATTACAAATTTTAATCAGTAGCATAAAGCAGATTGCTTCTCATCAATCCAGTTCTCCTCATGATGGCTTCCCAACACCTGGGATACAGGTTTCTCAACCATTTTTGAATACTTCCAAATATTTTCTCTAATGTGCTATCCAACTGCTATCCTCAGCAGCTAAATCATGAATATATGTTACATTATAAAACCAGTAATGTAGAACCATGCACTCAATTCACTGACATCCTAAGGAAGATCACAGTGTGGTATAACATTTCATGTAACATTTAAAATGGAAAGATATATTTTGAGATCAAATGCACTACTATCACTGCGTCATGCAAGGCATGCATAATTGCTTTCTCTGGAAATTGTCCAGGAGAAATGAAAAGATGTGCACAAGGTATGTGTTCTTTCCTAAAACCTCCTGGTATAATCTCAAGATCTCACAGTGTTCAAACATTTAAAAGTCCAAGGGCAATGACCCCTCAACTCTTATTTATATACCGTAATAATCCAAATCGTACTGTGTCACAGGCAGAGAGCAGGCAGATAAGCAAACAGGTCAAGATTATTCAAGCAAGATAGTCTATGGTGTGCAGTCTTAGTCTTATCTCTCTCAAACAGCAGACCAAGTGGTAACTGGTTAAGAACTGTGTCTCAGTTCTTAACTATAGCTTTCAGGTGAGAGTTTACTTTATATTATGCTCCTTTATGGAGGTGTTTGGACTACAAACAAAAACTAGCACAAGAAGAAGGCTAGCCCAGAAATATACTCCTCATGCTTAATTGTCCATGTTCACTACCCGAGTTTTCCTAGATCAGTGGTTCCTAAACTGTGAGCTACGGACCACCAGTGGGCCAAGAGGATGAAAATCTGGTCTGCGAGTCTCCTTCCTCTTTATTTATTTTATTTCTGCTCATTTCACGCCACCTGCTATTCCTTCCCTGTCACTGACCATGGTATATGTTCTGTATCAGAAACTAGAACTGATGTGATCTATCCAATGCAATTTTCAGAATCAGTACCCCAAACCAAATCTAAACTTGATTCATAACCCTTTTGGTACTAATGTTGGAGAGTTGTCCCTGGTCAAAGTAGTCCATGGTCAAAGTGGTTCCTGGTCAAAGTAGTCCATAGTCAAGTGGTCCCTGGTCAAAAAAAGGTTGGGAACCACTGTCCTAGATGGAGAATATGCAGAAATATTAAAAAAATATGAGTTTGAAATGATATAGTTGAGACAGAGATTTACTACAATCATCTGCTCTTTGTGGAAACCAGGAATGCTTTCATACCACATAGCAGTTCTAGTGCTATGATTTCATATTAACTGTCAAGGCAACACCTTACGATCTCTTAGGATGTGATTTTCAGTGAGATATATTGAGAATTATCTGTTCAACAACTGTACTGCCTCCCCAAACAATGCATACCAGGATACCACAGTATGTTGCCATGACAGTTAAAATGGAATTACACAATGCCATAATCATTTACTCACTATGATCTATCTAAAATGCCATGTGAGTTAAGAATTTTCTATTTTAAATTAGGATTTTTTTAATTGTCTGTTATGTTGCTGCCTACTTAACAATGGATTCTGGAATAGTTCCAAATATAGGGACTCTTTTGTGCACATATGTGAACAATTTCAGATCTGATGGAACAGAAATTAAATGAATGAATGAGCATTTTTAAATAAAACTCAAAGTACAATAGACAACACCACGTGTTTCCTATCTGGAGCTATTTTCTGCCTGAGACTTCAGTGAAACGAATAGCCCAATCTCATGCAATTTGATTCAGTTATTCAAGAAAAACATTGCTATAGATGATAAAATAAACAGTGGAAGGTTTGAGAAGAAACTAGAAAAGAAGAGGAAGCAAACCAAAGAGCAGCCAGAGCCAAGAGCAAATGCAGCAACTGAGGCATTGATGATCCAGTTCTGTTTACTGTCTAGCAGTTTCATAAATATTAAGTATTGCCTCACTATTATATCACACATTTTAAACCACCCAAGAGTGAGTTAATCTATGCCAAATTAGAGCCTGCTTAATAGTTTCTATAAAAGAAAAAGGGTCAGGAAAAAAGTCCACCAATGACTTGGTGGGCTATATTTAATTTCACTGCATGTTGATTACTGTTTCCTACTCACTTCATTGTAAACAATGCCAAAATAGCTACCAGCTGGGGAATTAAATAGGTCAAAGGATG